ATGCCGCTCAGTGCGGCCCCTTCCCCATCGCTGTGGCCGGCTCCCCTGGAGCCAGGACCTGCACAACACGGTTATCTTCTCCTGAAGAAATGGCAGAGGCACCACCCGCACTCTGCACAGGTGTGGCCGCGGCACGGATTCCAGGGCCCCTGGATCGCAGACCCTCACGGAGGACTCAAGAGGTGAGGAGGCGCCGTGCGAGGAGCCAGGAGTCACAGCCAGAGGGCAGAGGGCTACGCTCCTGGCTGGGAAGGTGGAAGAGGGGCCGTGAGACCAGAACGAGGTGTCCTTTAGAAGATGGACACCAGGCCGGAGCTGTGGCGCAGCCGGTTAAAGCCATACCTGCAGTCCCCGCATCCCATATGGGTGCCGGTTTGAGTCCCAGCTGCTCCATTTCCAATCCCGCTCCCTGCTCATGGCCTGGGAAAGCAGCGGAGGATGGCCCAACCCTGCACCCACATGGGAGACCCAGAGGAAGCTCCTGGCTCCGGTTTCAGCCTGGCCCAGCCTGGTGGTTGAGGCCATTTGGGGAGTGAACCAGCAGATGGAAGATGTCTCCCTGCACCTCTCCCTCTCTAACTCCGCCTTTCAAATAAATAAATAAATACATCTTAAAAAAAAAAAAAAAAAGGAGAAGGTGAACACGGAGAGGAGCCGATTTGCCCTGCAGCTCCAGGAAGACACAGCCCCTCGGCGCCGTGGCTTCTGGTCTCCAGGACTCAAGGGTAACAACGCGTCCTCTCCCAGCCTCGGTGTGGCCCCGGTCACGGCAGACCACCTCGACACTGGCCTGCAGCTGGGCTGGGGCCATGTGCCTGCCTCTCAGCAGTGAGCTGCCGCTGGGGTGATGAGCAGCTCCACAGTAGGCGCGTTTTCATGGGGAGTCCTGGAGGCAGAGGAGGTGGCGTCGTCACCGGGCTGCAGCCAGGAGGCCTGGCAATCCCCTCCGAGCAGATGCACCTGCCCAAGGCCAGCAGTGCCCCCAGCGCCGACCTGACCGGCGGCGGCCCCGACTCCACCAAACGACAGCACTGGGCTCCAGCAGGGCTTTTGTGTGTGTGTGATTTGTGGATATGCTATCTCCTTCCTTTTTTTTTAATAAAAATCGTTTATTTAACAAATATAAATTTCAAAAGTACAACTTATGGATTATAGCGGTTCTTCCCCCCATAACCTCCTTCCCACCCGCAAACCATCCCATCTCCTACTCCCTCTCCCATCCCATTCTTCATCAAGATTCATTTTTAATTATCTTTATGTACAGAAGATCAACTCTATACTGAGTAATGATTTCCACAGTGTGCACCCACACAGACATAAAGTGCTGTTTGAAGACTATATTTACCATTAATTATCATAGTCCAACACATTAAGGACAGAGGTCTACATGGGGAGCAAGTGCGCAGTGACTCCCGCTGTTGATTTAACAATTGACACTCATTTATGACGTCAGTGATCACCCGAGGCTCTTGTCAGCAGCTGCCAAGGCTACGGAATCCAGCAGGGCTCTTGACCACGGCTGCACAAACAGAAAAACACCAACGCCTCCCACCTCCGCCGACACCACATGCTGATCTATCTGGTGTGGACGTGGTCGACGTGGACAATTCTTAGACCCTCCCAGGAGATTCTCAACGCAGCTGGAACGGACAGTGCCAAAGCCTCTCCACCCGGGCAGCGTGAGCGTCCTCACACTGATGGCCTGCAGGTCAAGGCTGAGAAGCAGAGGCACGGGCTGCTGCAGGAACTTCACGGCAAACGGAAGTAAAAGTTCATTCCGTTCATGCACGTGCTGTTTGTAACGTACGGTTTCCATAAACGTGGACCACAACCCTCGCGTGCAGACTTACATTTGCTTTGGACCAAAATGCACTTCTCCTTGGATCCCACTTTGCACAAACACCTCGGTGCTTCCCTGTACCTCCCAGGTCCCGTGGAGAGGGAGGGGGCGGACGGGGAGGAGCATGGAGCACGGGGGTCCCCCCCACGGGGTTCCTGGTGGTGACATTTCTGAGTCCCAGTTACCTGCCAAGTGCCACGTCTTCTGAAGTGACAACCAAATCAGTGACTCCCCGTGGAGGTGAGGTGGCTGGGTCGCAGGATCCCTGGAAGGAAGTCTCAACCACAACCTTAAAAGCCTTCCAGAGAGTGAACCGAGGACAGAGCCTGCCTGCCGAGAAGGCAGGGAGGCGGGGCTGACTGTGCTGAGCTGGCCCTGACCTGACCCTGCTCGGCGGCCAGCAGCAGCCCACACCGCCCGCCGCCCTGTGGTGCTTCTGATCGCAGACCGGTCAGCGTTTCTACCAGGCCCACGACGCGCTCTCGCTCCCTCTCGCTCTCTCTCTCTCACACTCTCGCTCTCTCCCTCGCTCTCTCTGCCTCTGCTCTGTGTAGCGGGTGCTCGTGGGAGCCAGAAGGTATTGGGTGGTGAAGAAGAGGGCCCCCCGCCCCCGCGCCTCCCTCCTGGTTACGGCACAGAAGGGGCCACAGACACGCGGGTGACGCGGGGAGATCCACAGCACACAAAGGCCCCCGGACCCTCAGGGCCAGGATGGAGATGACACAACCGAGCTGGACAGCGCCCTCTCCGAGGACAGGAATTCTTTCTCTTGGTGTTTGTTTCCCCATTCGCTGGCCGGCACCTTTCCTGTCCGTGAACAGTCTTTGCTCTTCACCACGAGTCACTGGCAGGAACGGGAAGTCCACACGGTTTTGCCTGGAAATTCTTCCAGAGCCGCCAGTCACTTTGTCTGGAAGCCTCCAGTGGGAGATCAAGGGCCCTGGGTTTTCATTCATTCATTCAATCATTCATTTATTCGTGCATCTCCATCCGGGTGCGCACCAGCAGGGAGCAGAGCGGGACTTGGACCCAGGCCCTCCGATGCGGGGTGCAGCCGTCCCAGGGGCACCACCACGCCCACAGGCAGCCCAGGCGGGGGTTCTCAATCGCTCCCCAACCCGGACGCTGTGGAGGAAGCCCAGGTGGGTGTGGGAGGGGCCAGCCCCCAGGTTCTGACGTCACTCCTCTCCTCGGTGGGACGGACACTTCCTGTCCCACTCCCACATGACTGACACTCCACGTCAGGGTGAGTCGAGACCTGCAGCCCTCAGGTGCCACGACAGGACAGGTGCTGGTTAATAGGAAAGTCCCTGGGGGGGGGGGGCGGCGCAGGTGCTGGGTGGAGGCCCCAGTGGGAGGGGCGGCCGGGCGGGGCAGCAGACAGAGCAGGATTTGCTGACTTGGGCACACTCTGCACTCAGCCCAGCGACCTTCCCTGCTCTTCTGTGCTCTGTCTTCCCGCCTGATCCGCCCTCACTGCCAGCACAGCGGGTTCTTGGAGAGAGCGGCCCTCAGAGACGGTAGCGGGTGCTCACCTCCTGCTCAAGACCCCCGTGTCCCACGTCAGAGTGACCGGGCCCAGCCCCCAGCTCCTCCTCACGAGACCCTGGGTGGCAGCAGTGACGGCTGAAGCAAGGGGCTTCCTGCCACTCGTGCGGGGGCCGTGGGTGGCGCCCAGAGCCCAGGCTCTCGCGGTGCAGGCATCTGGGGGGGCACGGCAGAGGCGAGCTCCAACTCTGCCCCACCCCCACCCCCCTCCGCCGCCTCTCTCTGTCTCTCTCCTCCTCTCGAATGATGCAGCTTATCAAAGCAAAGGATTTGGCACTAAGGACGTGGGTCACTCACGACTGGAAAAGGACAGTACTGGCCAGCACGGGGTGGCCTGGGCCAGGCCCCCTGAGCAAACAAGCAGCAGTGACACCCGACGACCCTTGGTTAACTGTCTCACCCGGCCCTGCCCGCTGCCCGCGTCTCACCTAGCAGAAACCTCAGGCTCTGTGGGCAGCAGGGAGGTTCCTCGAAGAGTCCAGAAGGCCCCTCACCGTCGTCCTTGGCGCTCCAGCCACTGGACGCCACCTCCCCTCCCCCGCTGCACTCGAGCGTCAGGCCAACGTCCGCCTCCCAGCAGCTCTGCTTCTGAGCCCCAGCTGTGCCCCCGTTTTCAGTCAGCGACTGCGACCGCCTGCTTCATGGTCGATCAGCCATGGACCTCGCCACGCCCCCTGGTCCTGCAGAACCAGAGACGCCTGTGACAAAACACCACCCGCGGACCCACGGCCCTGCAAGCGGAAAGTGGGCTGGCCCAGAATGAGACCCGACTTCAGACGGCAAGCTGTTTACAAAGAAAAATCGTTCCGAGGTTAACCAAAAAATGGAAATGATCTTCTCTAGTTTAGGGTTTAATTACCAATCCATCCAGTTCGCTTCAGGCAAGAAAAGAAGGGGGAGGGGGAGTTGTGTTCTCTACCCGGAGGAAGGCAGCCTCGGAGTGTAAACGCGGCCAGCCCCCGTCGGGACGTCAGGAAATGACCTGTTTCCTGGCAGTGACCGAATACGGAGGTCAGGAGAGGAACAGAAACACTCCACACGAGCCGGCCGCCCAGATCAGCAGACACAGAGCCAGGACCACGGTCCCCAGGACGTTAGGCACAAGAAGGAGAATGGACAGCTGGTTTTATAGCATCACAACAAAAATAACTAAAAGGCTAGAAAGATCGGAGAGGTCAACCCAAACATTCAAAATAATAAATTCAGAACAAAAGCAGAGAAAATTCACAGCAACTGTTAGGACATCCCCGCTTACGCAGCGAGGAGACCCTGGGTGACGGTGGCACTGCACGCCCCACATCTCGCACTGTGCACTGCTGTTCACTTAATTATCTGGGACCAGACACGGAGAGGGCGAGGACGTTGTCCGTCCCTCCCACCATCCACGCCTGGTAGCCGGCGCTAGGCCAATGTCTGTCCTCCTCACCGTCCACACTAGGTGGCCAGCACAAGGCTGATGTCCGTCCCCCTCACTGTCCATGTTGGTGGCTGGCGCGAGGCCGGCCACTCAGGAGGCCCTTACCTGATAGATGACCTCTGAACAAAGCATAGTCACTTTATAAATCAGAGTGCCACACCAGGATAGCACCAGGCACTGGGAGGGGAGAATTTTCACCAGGCACTGGGAGGCGAGTATCTTTAATACACGTGAACGCACACGTAAATAATTACACCATTAGAGGCTAAAGCAGGGCCCGGGATGCAGGCAAATCAACACGACCGGATGCAAAACGGGAGCCCTGATGGTAAACCAGGCAGAGCCGTGCGAACCCCTGGAGCACGAAGAGCTGCCCACTGGGAGAGCAGAGGAGCAACGGCGCGGACAGAGCTCAGGGACGGGCACCTCCTGCCCCGGTCAAGGCTGGACGGAGCTCAGGGACGGGCACCTCCTGCCCCGGTCAAGGCTGGACGGAGCTCAGGGACGGGCACCTCCTGCCCCGGTCAAGGCTGGACGGAGCTCAGGGACGGGCACCTCCTGTCCCGGTCAAGGCTGGACGGAGCTCAGGGACGGGCACCTCCTGCCCCGGTCAAGGCTGGACGGAGCTCAGGGACGGGCACCTCCTGTCCCGGTCAAGGCTGGACGGAGCTCAGGGACGGGCACCTCCTGTCCCGGTCAAGGCTGGACAGAGCTCAGGGACGGGCACCTCCTGTCCCGGTCAAGGCTGGACAGAGCTCAGGGACGGGCACTTCCTGTCCCGGTCAAGGCAGGACAGAGCTCAGGGACGGCACCTCCTGTCCCAGTCACCAGGAGGCACACGGCCCGGACAGCGGCTGCCACTGCGACGAGGGCAAGGAGGCTGCGGGCGCCCAGGAAGCGCTGGTCCCCAGCTGTGCACAGGGTGCTCCCGCCACTTTCTCCCGGGATGCTACGGCTCCTCGATCACATCTGTCCAGGAATCCTGGGTTCCCACCGGCTCTGGGATTTATGATTGAAACCGATTTTCTTATTTTTGCTCACTTTTATTTTCTACTTTCTGGAATGACCAAGTATCACCTTTAAACACTTCTATAACATAGAAGCATATTTCGTTTCAAGGAGCAGGGATCTGAGGCCACGACTGAAATGCCAGGGACGGGGGCCAGCGCTGTGGTGTAGCAGGTGGAGAAGTCACCTGAGGTGCTGGCATCCCCTATGGGCACCGGTTCGGGTCCTGGCTGCTCCACTTCTGATCCCACTCTCTGCTATGGCCTGGGAAGGCAGTGGAGGATGGCTCAAGTCCTTGGGCCCCTGCACCTGTGTGGGAGACCCAGAGGAGGCTCCTGGCTCCTGGCTTCGGATCAGCGCAGCTTCGGCCACTGCAGCCAGTTGGGGGGTGAATCAGCAGATCGAAGACCTCTCTCTCTCTCTCTCTCTCTCTCTCTCTGCCTCTCCTTCTCTCTATGTGACTCTGACTTTCAAATAAATAAATATTTTTAAAAAGAAAAAAGCAATGCCAGGGACGGGTGTAGCACAGGAGTCACAGAACACTCAGATCAGGTGCGAGAGGCAAACTCAGCCAGGATCTCACTGCATTCCAAGCTGAGCACCGGGGAGCCGTCACCACCCCAGCAGAGGGGCCGCCATGAGGCCCCACGGAATCTACAGCGGGCTCTCCTCTGGGTCCCCTGCAGCCAGCAAGAGCCCCCCCCCCAAGGGACACGCCAGGGTGCAGTCAGGGCAGTGCCCGTCCCAGTGCCCCCCAAACCCACATTCTCAACTCGGGAAGCCTGGGCCACCCACACTCAGAGCCCGCCCCCGACTCCCTCCGCACTGGGAATGCACCCGCCACGCCCACGTCTTCATTAGGGTCCCTGGGGACAGCTTCCTCTGATGTTGATTTCACGTAAGCAGAAATAAACATTATTCCACTGGCTGTAGAGGTAAAACTCACACAGAGAAAAGTGCATTTTGAATCTGAATCATCACTCTCCCCAAGCCTTTTCCAAAGCAGTGTAGACAAAGCATGAAATACGGGGTCGTTCTGACACAAACACACTGCGCTGTGTTCCCCGAGTGCAGAGGTGAACAAGAGGAGGGACCACCGAGCAGTCCGGTGGAGGGGGCAGGCGGTGGCCAGGCTGCCCAACGAGTTACAGCATCGGCACACAAACAAGGCAGTCTTGTATCGAAAAGAGAGGCTTTTGCCACATAAAACCCTCACCATCAAAAACGCCCTTGCTTCACACAGAAGTGAGTTTTACCACCTTAAAGGAGAGAGCCAGCACCAGGCTGGTGTTTGGAGAACCGCGAACGCCTTGTGGTCCACGCGTGAAATCTCCCTGAGTGGTGCTTTCCCACCGCGCACCACGGGTGTCTGGGGCCGGGAGCTGCTGGCTGCAGGGTGTGTGGCAGTGCCCCGGCCTCCACCTGCCACATCCCTCACGGTGACAACTCCAGGCACACCTGGAGGAAAGCCCGGCCCACACTGGCTCCCGCTGACCTACAGGAAGTGTGGTGCAGCCCCCTAGTGTTTAACCTGAGGGTGCTTTAGTGTCTGCTGGTGCCGACGGCGAGCAAGAGGGAGGCTTCACACTGAACGCGACACCCTTTCCATCTCCTGAGACGCCCACGGGCCTGGAATCTCTGTGCCTCCCCCAGAGTCGGAGCAGCCAGCTGGACGCCAGGAGAGCCCCTCGGGGCCGCAGCCCCCTTCCCGGCGCATCAGAGGTGGTGACCAGTGCCTCACGTCCACCCAAGGGTGCTTCAAAACGCACACGCAGGGAAAACAATACACGCTGATTTTTAAAAAGCTGCCCCTCTGAAGTCCATCGTCTCATGAACTCTTTTGAAGCCCCCATGCACGTGTGTACATGCTTATGTGTCCTGTGTCCATGTGTTTATGTGCACGCGTGTTACACGTATGTGTGTACATAAAGTATCTCAGCCCCTCTGGAATCCGAATTGGCAGCACGCACTCCCAGTGCACACGACCTAGGTACCGTTCCAATGAACACACTGGTTCTGGCAAATAAAACACAAAGCACAGTAAAGTAAACCATCCAAACGGCATCACTGGAGGTACGGAGACCATCTCACCGAGGCTTCGGAGAGCCGTTCGCTGTCTGTGTTTTCAGGGGAGGTCGGCACCCCACCTGCCGATTCTCTTTGGTTTGTGGCCACTGTGGGAACACCACAAAGGCCCGCCTGAGATCAGTGAGAGGAGAAAGGTGGCCCTGGTCCTCACTCACGGCCACGCACCACGCACCACGCACCACGCACCCTCTCCCTCTCCACAGCCAATGATGGGCCACATCGATCGGCCATCGCTGAGCAAGCTAAGTGGATTAAATGGCTCCTCCACTCGTTTTTCAAAATCTTATTTAAATTGTCTCAGCGATACTATTCCACCAAATGCCAGGAAAAAGAAATCAATGGGATTAGAAATCTTGCTGCTAAACCTAAGGGGTCATGTTACTCCTGCTGCGTAATGAATGGAATTACAGCCGCATTATCTGCTTCCTGGGCGCACCCCTACCGGCAGACGCAGGCAGGGGAGGGGGCAGAGGGAGCAGCAGAGAAAGAGAGGCGAGAGGGAGGAGGTCTAGCAGCCGAGGTCACCTCAGCATCCCACAGACCCCAACACCCCGCAGTCAGTGGGCAAGCGGGGCTCAGCCTCACCCGTTCTCACGGACCTGGGGGACTTTGCAACGAGACCAGGCCCCTGGCAGGCCCAGAGCTCAGCCCCCAAAGAGAGGGACCCGCGGTCCCATCACGAGCTGTTCTGTCCCCGGGGGCTGCGTTTGCCGATGAGATCCGGGAGGGAGGCAGGAGCGCTGCAGCTGGGCGACGCCCCTGCGACGGAGCTCAGTTCTCCAGGCGGCCCCAGCGCCTCCCTGCAGCCCCACAGCACCTGCTGCAGCCAAGGGCGGGATTTCCAGCCAGGGAGAGGCGGCGGCCTGGCTCCACCTGTCCCAGTCCCACACCTGCCCCGCTCTGCCCTGTATTCGTGGGCGACTTCAGAGAAAGGACTGCTGCACCCCACTGCAAGAAGACCAGCGAGGGGGCAGCCACCGCCCCCTGACGACCTGCTGGGTCCCTGCAGCAAAAAGGCCAAGGACATGGAGATGCCGCCTCCCCCAGGGGTTGCAGGCACACACGGGAACACACACCAGGCAGACCCCACGTCTCCCAGCTCTGACCGCACATCGTTCCACGGCTGTGACTGAGATGAGTGAAGTCCCTGCTCTTTGAAGGACGGGAACTAGAGGGTTTCAAGTGCAGTGCCTTCTGCTCCCAGGACAGCGACCCGCTAGGAAGTCTGACCAGGGGCAGTGCCCTGGGCCAGGCCCCGCTGCCTCTGTGTGCAGCTGAAGTCCCCCAGAATCACCTGCATGGTGTCCCAGGAGCCTCCCCCACAATGCAAACCCCTGATGCATTTCTGGGGACAGTGGCAGTCAAATCTCCTTTCGCCATCACGCCCCGCGTCTCTGTCCTCTCCCCGACACAGCCATCAGCGTGTGGGCGGGTGTGGGCAAGGAGCTCATGCGATGACCCCGCACAACCAGGTGGGCACCCTGAGATCACATCCCTTCCAGGGGGGTGGGGCAGATGGCAGCACCTGGACGAAGGGGGAAGCGGGAGCCCGAGGCCAGAGGAGCAGCTTCTCTCGCTGGAGCCCCCAGAAGCAGCAAAGCGGCTGCCCCGGGCTGAGCTCAGAGGGCCCTGCTGCAGGCCTCTGATGGGCAGCGCCGTCAGCCACACAACGGGTGGGGATTTGCTCAGCAACCACGGGAAACAAATCCCCAACGCGTGGCAGGTGGCGGTGGGGCCCGACCGCCTGGACGTTGGCTGAGGCAGGCATGGGCTCTGAGTGACCCGTTAGCTTCCTCCTCCACCAAAGCACGTGCCATTCTAACAGTGCCCGCCCCTAAACAGCACACAAGCACCCAGTGGACGACAGACGTTAGCTATGCTAGGATCCCAGTTTAAGGGGATTTAAACCACGTTGCGTTGCAAGTATTCAGTGTGCACAGAGCTGCAGGGATGTACAACGTATTCTTGTTACACATTCGGTTTCCGGTCCAGAATCTCGTGTGTCTGAAATGTGCATTCAGGGATGGTAGTCGGGTGGGGAAGAACCACTTTGTGTTGGCCTCAGACCGAGGAGGCAGGCAGAAATGGAGCCCAAGACAACCCCAGGTCTGCAGCAGCCATGCAGAGTGGTGCCGGGGCAGGGAGGGGCAGGGAGGGGCAGGGAGGGGCAGGGAGGGGCAGGGACGGGCAGTGGTGCTTCCGAGGGTTCCTGGGATCCTGGGACGTGGCGTGAAGACGAGGCTCTGTCGCTGGACCAGCGTTCTGTGGTCCATGTGTGTTAGGGTCTTTGACACGTCCATGAAAAATGCATTTCTATGTGTGGATTTCAAAAGTCCACGTAACCAACACAGACTCATGCTTTAGTTCTCCTTTCCAGCAACTTCTGGAAGTGTCCTTGTATATGGTGGCCCCGCACGCAGCCCCGTGTCGTACGCTCTCCCGGTTCCCAGCCGTGCACGAGGCACCGAGAGCTCGGAGCAGGAGGCCGGCTCTCGGGGTCGTCTCTGGCCAGCGTGGCCTCCCAGTCACAAAGCAGCAGCAAAGCCCTTGAGCCGCACACTCACAGTCTCCCAGGGGAGGCTGCAAGGACACAGAGGCAGGGAAGTCTCCCATCACCCCTGCACCGGCAGCTGGAGCAGCCGGCAGAAAGCACGAGTAGGCTAAGTCCTACGTGGTCGTAGTTGCCATTTTTTTTAACTTTCCCCTGTGGCCTTCCTGAACCCATACACACCAACACAGCGAGGGTCACTGCTAAAAACTCTCGGGAAACCCAAGCACAGAACTGCTGGCCACTGCTGGCCCCCAGGCAGCCCCTCCCTCTGGTCACCGGCGTGTGGCCCTGCTCCTCAGCGTTGAGGCCGGGGCACCTGGCTCGCAGCCCAGAGGCACGGGTCCGGGGCACACTCCGCCTCTTACTCTCCCCTCCACTCCTCGCTTCTTTCTTTGCAAACAGGACGCCACCTCACAGGGCTGTTGTGACAAAATGAGGTAATGTCTGCGTCCGGGGCTAGGACAAGCTCTGGCTGGTGCACAAGGCCATTAGCATTGCCCTCTAGGACGCCGCCCGCCTGGCTCCTGCCTCGAGGTCCCCGGGGATGCAGAGCACAGAATACGCTCACTGTGACGGCTGTGAAGTAAATAAAACCACAAGCAAGTTAATGAACTTGAGGGACCAGGTTCCAAAGTGTAAGCACGAGGTGGGTTGTCCACACCGCACGTGGCTAAGCTCCGAGTCCATCTTCATGCCTCAGTGAACCCTTCCTGTGTGCACACAGACCCGGGCCTGCCCTGCAGGGAAGACCCGCGAGAATCTCTCTGCAGACCCAGCTGTGGGTCTGGGAGGCCTCAGGGGACGCCGACCCTCCAGCACCTGGATCCAACAGCCAGCAGAACAAGGTAAGGGGGCCTCGCGCACAGATGGGCGGGAAACACCCACGGCGGAATCGTGCAGGTAGAGAAGGCCCTGGGGAAGCAAAGGGTCCGAATGACGTGAACAGAACCTGGGAAACACGGACCCCGGGGGCAGGGGGCAGGGGGCAGGACCCGGGTGGTCCGAGGCCTGCGTTGTGTCTTCAAGGCAAAGGGCAGGGA